ACACACACACACACACACACACACTCTCTCTCTCTCTCTCTCTCTCTCTCTCTCTGTCTCTCTCACACTCTCTCGCTCGCTCGCTTCGGATCCTCCAGAAGTGAGAGCGTGTGCGGCGGCAGATGCAGCTGGGTGCTCAAGGGCCCGGTGGTCGACTTGTGTTTTGTCTCTTGCCTCGTCCTCTTCTTGGTGTCAGAGCGCTCCTGGTTGTCTGCAAGGTTTGCGCCAGCTCGACAACCACGGGTGCATTCTCAAACGCATCTCATCCCAGGCCCATCTGCGCCCCCGATGTGTCTTAGCCACTGCTGAAGCATGGGAGGCGCATCGTTCCAGGTCGGGTTGCTGGCCCTCCTGGTCAGTGCGGCCATCGCACGACCAGCCAACTCTGGTTCCATCGCAGACGTTGATTGCAACGGCCACGGGATCTTCTATCAGGAGGAAGCGGCCCTCGGGGTCACAGCCTGTGCCTGCTTTCAATGCTACACCGGCCCACATTGCTCGACCCTCCGCGGCAACTGCTCGCTCGAGACGCGCGTGGCTGAAGCCGCCCTCTTTCAAACATGGTTTGATCACGTCGATGCTGATCTCAGCATCACCGTGCAGCGTGACTACCACCTGCCATACATGAAGACGCCGCGCAGCTTTCCCCCAAACGCCGATCCCAGCGACTACGACAGCCTATCCCTCCTCCTCAACTCCAGCATTCATCGACTCCATCAGCGCGTGGGCAACGTGGACACTTCTGGCATGACCCTCTTGATTGGTGCCGGGGGTGTCCAGCTCATCGATGCCGCCCTCTATGCCTTGACCCAGCGCAAGCCTCAGCCCGAGTACATGCATGTTTATGCCCAACCCCCCTTTTATCCACACTTTCACCAAGCCTCCAATATCAACCCTCTCACAAACTTTACCCAGGATCTGACATCCCTTGATCGCAGCACGCTCATCGAGGTGCGATATAGCAGATATCCGCCCAGCCCCGATCCCGCACCACCGCACGCCCTCTCACTCCTTGTGCGGCATTCGCTGTCACGCTCACCAGTCATCCGCCCTCTCCCTGCATGCCAGGTCCTGACCACGCCCAACAACCCGGACAACGAGCGCAAGTACCCCGCCGCGCCCGACGCTGCGGCCCGCATCACTGACCTGGTCTACTACTGGCCTCAGTACCTCGACATTAATGAAACCTTTGCCGATGATTTGATGATCTTCTCGCTCTCCAAACTGGCTGGCTATGCCGCTTCACGCATTGGCTGGGCCTTTGTGCGAGATAGTCAGGTTTGTGCCCCTTGTCCTTCCTCAGGGATCCCTGTTTTTAGGGGAGACAATGACAAAAAAATAAAAAAAAGAACCGAGTAGGGCGAAAAGACAAAAAACAATAAAGATTGCCTAGTAGTTATCATCCCTGCGACACAGCGGCCGCTCAGCTGCACCGTGCGCTTCACCTTAGGTGGCTGCAACCATGAGCAATTACATGTGGCTACAATCTACCGCTCCCGCTGTGGAAGCGCAGCTGCGTGCCGTCAAGCTTCTTGATGCCATCGTTGATCAGAAAGACGTCAATGGCCTCGACTTTTTCACCGCCTCCCGCGCCTTGCTGTCGGAGCGGTGGCGGCAGTTGCGCTCCCTCTTCACCGCCTCTGACAGCTATCGTCTGGCGGGCCAGGACGGAGGTTTGTTCATGTGGATTCAATGTCTTGATCAGCAAGACCAACTTGACTGCGCCGCTCCTTTTGCCTCGGTGGGCATCACCACCGAGACTGGCGTCCCCTATGGCAGCGATTCCAGCCACGTACGCGTGTGCATGGGCCATGACAATAGCACCTTTGCGCTTCTCCTCCAGCGCCTGCAGACGCTTCTGCAACGATCCCGTGCGGGTGACCGCTCTAGCGGACCGTCTGTTTCACAAACGCTCATGCACGCCGATTGGCAGCGCGCCCAAGCGATCGTGCCCGCTAGTACCCATCGGGGGGACAACTACTGGCAAATGACCCGTCGCCTCAACGCATATCTTCCTCGCTATGCTCTGGACCGACATCAACTCATCGACTGTGATGGTCTGACCGTTGATACCCTGCACATGGTGGAACGTGCTTTGCGTCCTCACCAGGCCCAGGCACTTCAAAGCCTGTACGAGGACCGAAATGATCCGCGCCGTTGGGCCATCACGGACGACCTCGAGCTTCAGCAGGCACGCGAAGTCGAGGTGGCAGCCACGTCCGCCGCCTCACACGACGTGGTTCGAGATGGCCTTTGCCATCGCGTCGTCATGCAATACGTGCACCACGTTCCCACTCTGCGTCTGGCACAATTAGATGCCCTTCCCCTACCGCGACTACCCGTGCGTGAGCTTGCTCCCAGTGTGCTCGCGGCCGCAACGCCCGAAGCCCACGAAGTCTTGCACAATACCACCCAATGCTTCAAGTGTCACCTTGTCGGCAACGCAACGGACGCTGCAGCCCGTGAGACGGACTTTGAGGCAGGGATCCAAGCTCCAGCCTCGGGCAGCGCAGACCCGGTGGTACCTGACTGGCCGCGCGAGTTTGATGTTCGTTTTGGTCTCTACGCCAACACGAGCACGCAGTCGTTGCAAAACTCGACCTCGCACATGTATTGGAACTACGACGTGCCTTCCATGCACATCCAGCACAGCGAATGCCCCCCCGACTTCTTGCCGCAAATCCCTGGCAGCATCACGGCTGCCTGCAACCTGACCTTCCATCTGGACGGCCTGTGGATCACCTGGCACAACGCTTCGCAGAGCACCACGGACACGCCTCATTGCTGTCAAGTCATTGCAGCAGACATGACGGACAACCTGGGTCTCAATGAGCTGGGCGGGTTTGACTACCTTGGTATGTTCTCCTTGTCACAATGACGGCCTTGTTTGGCCTCGCCTGTTTTCCTGCCGTCTAGCGCTGATTCCTCTATTTTTCACATGGCTGCAAATGTGCTTTTTGTGCATTTGCATTCGTAATTCACAGGTATGATGTATACGACTGATCTCTGGGGTCGAGAGTTGGCAGCCCAGGCCTGGACAAACGGGGCCCAGTTTCCTATTTCTCCAGGCTTTCACATTATGATCGACCCCTCGTCCAACGAGGATGTGCACTACTACAATGGTGGTGCATATCAGCTGGAATGGGCCCTGGGCCCGCGCAACGTGGCTCCGCAGCCCCGTGAGCTTTTTGAGTTGCCTCCGACACCCGAGTGTTTGCAAATGTGCACACACGACATGCCGCGGGTACCCCTGCCGCAGCCCCGTTTCTGAGTTGTCTCACTCTGATGGGCAACGGTGCAGGTGATTTGAATTCAATGGATTGTCACGTGAAATTGTGAATAAATGTCCAGTGGCATGCATGGCGTGACTCAATGTCAACCTAAGCAGAGCCAGCTGGAATGGACTAAAGGGGCACAGGGAACTAGTTTTATAAAATCAAGCCACCGCATGCTCGAGGCGAGTGCTGTCGGTCACAACTTCAGGGCCGAAGATGGGCCGGCATTTCCTCGAGACAGTCCTGCGCCTCCAAAGGCACACGCAGCCACGTATCATGTTCGTCAACGCTGTCATAAGCTGCACAGGCATGGACAGCTCCCTGCTTGCCATAAAAGACGGCCTCTTCTCCAATGGGGTACACTGGTTGATGCCAAACATCCGTGTTGATGTGGATGCCAAAGGTGCCATCGCAATAAAAAGCCACAAAGTCTTCCGGTCGCACATTGTCCTTGGGAAGAGCTAGCAGCGCCACGTAAGCCTGCCCATCCCTAAAGATCATCAAGGACGAAAACCCAAGGAAAAAAAAAAAAAAAAAAAAAAAAAAAGAAAGAAAAAGAAAGAAAGATGAGCAAAGGCACTTTTATCGAGTGCCGCAGCTGGGTGGATGGGCGGTGCACAGACATGCAAGGACGCACCGGGGGCAAACAATTTGACCACCGTCGGGGTGATAGTTGGCCTCGCGCGTCACGCACTCTGCGGCCATTCAAGATGGACCCGGAACGTGAGAGCCCTCAAGAAGAAACAAGATCACCTTACTAAACCTGTGAGCGCGATTCAAACCTACCGGTGCGAGGTGTTGCAGATAGACACGTGGGGATGACACCGGTCGTGTAGTTGCCGCCCACCGCTTCGTTGATCGCAAGAAGCTCCCGGTCGTGCCAAGCAAACGTGAAGAGGCCCTCTGCGGATCAATAGGGTGATATCATCAGATGAGTGGGACGGCAGTGTACTTGGCACGGCGCTAGTGGTGGTGTAAAAATCAGACCACACTCTTACCGCGAACACCTCCGGCGCGGCCGCTGGATTCACAGATGGGGCGTCGACCCGGCAGCTGCGGCCATTGTGCAATGTCCACTTTGGCCTGAAGCAGGTGTCATCATATGACATGTGAGCTTTCGGCTGGCAATGCGAGGCGCGCAACAGTGCGCTCTGAATGAAGGGTTTTGACCATCCTGATCAAGCTTACTGCGTCAAAATCTTCTTTTGAGGCGGGGAACATGGTGGCGTAGCCTGGCAGGACAGCGGTCGGAACAAGGTGAGGGGCCTCACATCTTGGGACACTGGGCCTTTGCCTTCTTCTTTCTGATGCGCCAGCAAGTCGAAAGTATGCATCAAAGGCAGTGGGTCGTAGCTTGGGTAGCAGCTTTACCTTGCAGGTTTGCTTCTGTACCCCGAACCAGAGGAACGCGATAACCCTTGATGGCCGGGTCAATGCTGAGTCCAGCCGAGTGATCGGCGTAGCCTGAGCCACCCGATACGTTACTCGCACTGCCGGTGACCACCGTTCGCAGTGAACCTGGCAGCCAACGTAGCGGTGCAGGAGAAAACGCCAGCCCCAGCCCGCTGGACCTTACACAAGTACGGGTCCATGTCCTCGCAGCTGCACAGACCGCTGCCATTTTCAGAGATGCCAGCTTTGACCGAGACGATTCCAAACAAAATATGAAACAAAAACAAAATGGATCAGAGAGAGAGAGAGAGTTTGAGAGAGAGAGAGAGAGTTTGAGAGAGAGAGAGTTTGAGAGAGAGAGTTTGAAAGAGCGTTTAGAGAGCGAGAGAGAGAGAGAGAGAGAGAGAGTTTTTGAGAGAGAGAGTTTGAGAGAGAGAGCCAGAGAGAGAGAGAGAGAGAGAGAAAGAGAGAGAGAAAGAGTCCAAAAGTGGCACGTGTGCACAAAAGGTGGTTGGGCTTCACAAGACAGTATTGATCGGTCACGTTTGAACGCCGCACATTCAGTCTTTCGCTGTGTTGCTTTGCAGATTCCCATGATACTGCCGTGTTATTGGTGAGTTTTGAAGGGCTCTGAATTCTTGGCGCATTGGTTGAGATGGTGCGAGTCTTGCGAGCAAAGTCTTTATGATTGGCAAAGCCATTTGGGGAGCTGGCAGGCTGGCAGTTTGATGCAAGAGCGGCGGAATGAAGAGCACGCTTGCTCGCAAAGAGAGAGCGAGAGGGGAGAGAGCGGAGAAGGTAGAAAATGAAAAGATAGGACAAATGCAGATGGGCACAGTTTACTTCTTGCCGCCCTTCTTGCCGCCCTTCTTGGCAGCTATGGAAACGAGCAGCGCAATAGCTGTGAGATGAAAAGCGATCAACGATCACTGGCGCTCATGCGCTTGCACCCACCCTTGGCCTCAGCCGCAGCGCGTTCCACGTCGATGGGTGCGGGCTTGACAAAGGGAATGAACTCGCGGTACTCTGTGAAAAGTAATAAAAAAAGATGAGTGCCAGCACACCAACGATTTGAAGCGCGTCGAGCGGGGGGAGGGGGTAAAGACTCATAAACTTACGAGAGGGCATGTAGGGGCGCAGCACTTCAGGCACAACGACGCCACCGCCGTTGGAAAAGTTGCCGACCTGGAAGTTTTCCAGGATGCAGCACACGTTGCGCGTTGTGGCGCACAACGTGCTACATGGCCGACGCAGGCAGATAGCAGGCACAGTCCGTGAGCGCACCGGAAGCGACGGAGGGAGGCGAGACGTGCTAAAAGCAGAGTCGGCGCCAATCTCACCTGTTGAGCATGTGCACGTAATCAGTGCGAGCGTTCAGCTTCTTGGTCTGGCCATACCGGATCTGTTGCACATGAATGCATCCATGAGGTACCTGCACCTGCAAATGGCTGCCAAGCAAGGTGACGAAACACCAACCTTGAGGCGGCGCGCCTGGTAGTCAGTGCAGTTGGAGCAAGAGACGAGCTCACGGAATGCTCCCGAGCCGGGGAACCAGGCCTGCAGGGGCAAGAAGAGGTGTTGTCACCGATAGCGGGTGAGACAGGTGTCACATGCTTGTATGATTGTAAATTCCAGGGGCAGAGCACTGACCTCGACATCGTTCTTCTTGGCCGCGGCCAGGTTAAGGGCACCGGACACGATGCTGACGACCTGGTAGGGCAGACCAATCTACTCGAGGATTGTCGGCACAAGGCAACATCAGATATAATGAGCGTCAAGAATCGAGCCCGTGTGGCTCCCGAGCCTGGCAGAACGGGGTACGAACAGCCTTGAGAAAGTCTTCGGCGTTGGCCAGCATCTCATCCATCAGCTTCCAAGAGATGTCGTCATGGGGGCTGCAGATCACAAACTGCGTCGGACGAGGACGAGGGAAAAAAAAAATGGTGGCGTCAGGACCAAGATAGAGGTACCGGGGTGCTCATCTTTCGTCATCTTTTGCTGTGACAAGGACCCGGCACACCTACCTGCTCAATCTTCTTGAACTGATGCACGCGGAAGATGCCCAGCGTGTCACGGCCGTGTGAGCCGACTTCCTGGCGAAAGCACTCGGACACACCAACATAGCGCAGCGGCAGCTCCTCTGGGTTGATCCACTCGTTGCGGTGGAAGGCAGCAATGGGCTGCTCAGCAGTCGCGATGAGATATTTTTCTTCGACCCTGCACCCAAAGTCAAGGGCGGAAGACGTGAGTGGAGCTGGTCAGGAAGAAAAGACAAAAAACAACAACAAAAACCAGGGGACACAGGAGCAGCTAGTAGCCATGGCATGAGAGGGCAAAGATGATGCAAAGTACTAAATCGTACTCGGCATCCTCGGCGCGCTCTGAAGCCTTGCCCGTGACCTTGTACAGCTCCTCGTTAAACTGGCTGAGCTGCGCCACCTGTGTCCTCAGAAACATGCGAAACCTGTCAGTGTGACACATTACACGGGTTGCGACCAAACAAAACTCCAAGGTCCGCACCTCCTGCATGACCTCCTTGCGCATGAAGAGAGGTGGTGAGAGAGCAGTGAAGCCACGGTCCATGAGGAACTGAACGCTGAAAGCGCACAGGGCCTGTTCCAAAGCCACGGCAGCACCCTTCAGGTAGTAGCACTGTCCAGATCAAGGGTGTCAGCAGCCGTCGAACGCAAAAATGCAGATGAGTTAGCATTGACGAAGAAAGTCATGGAAGGAAAGGGGGCAACACCGCAAAAAGGGGCGTACGCGTGAGCCGGCGGCGACGGTGCCACGCTGAGTGTCGACGCCATCAATCATGGTAATGAGGTCGACGTGAGAATACTCCTTGCGGGTCTGGTTCACAGCCGCATCACCGACGGTGCGGAGGATAAGGTTGTTGTCCTCGTTGTCGGAGATGGGGACCGAAGGGTGCAGCACGTTGCCGACGGAACGCAAGAGCTCATCACGCTGAGCCTCAAGCTCCGCCGCTTGCCTAAAGAATTATGAGAAAAGAAAAATTAACATCCTTGCCCAAGAACGCAAGAGGGCAGGACGTTTTTGGCTTTGTCAAGAGACAACGTACTGTTCAACAGTCTTGCGTGCCTCATCGATGAATCCCGAGAGCTTGCGCAGCTGCGTCACGGTGAGGCCTCCCAAAACTTCGGCGGTCAGAGCCTTGGGGTCGTCCATCAGAGCGGTCGTGATGTTGGCCGGCAGGGCGTCTGAATCGCCGACAGCCTCCTTGGCCTGTGCAGCAGAAATGAAACATCGAATAGGGTGGTCAGTGTCGATCGACGAGGCAGTGGGCGCATGATCAGGGACCGGGTAGATTGACAGGGTTGGCCAATTGGAGTGCTTAGTTTGAGCAAAGACTTTGACTCGACATCAGATGACCTGCCCACGGTCGGCACGAGCTTGGGACTGACCTTCATTTTGGCGCCCACGGTCTTGGCTGTAGCATTTTTAACCTTGCTGTAAAGGTCACGCTTGAAAGCGGTCTGGCGCCAAGCCAGATCAGCATCCATGATCTGCTGAACCAGGCCCTCATCTTTGTAGCGATCACGCTGGATCTTCTTGACGCCTGAACACGCCCAAGGGAAAAGGGTGAGCGAAACACCAAAGGAAATTGGGGGTGGGATGGCGATGAGCAACACAGGGTCAGAGTTGGGATGGGTCGAAACGAATCGAGTCCAGAAGGATACCTTCGGGGCCCAGGGCCTCGGGGTCCTCTTGGGGACGGAAGGATTCAATGTCCAAAACCATGTTGGAAGGTCTGTCGGGTCGATGTCCATGCGGATGCCAGTGCGTGAGCAATACAAAGTCTCGCCGGGACGAATACAGACGAAATCGGGCGAGTAGATCAAGCTCGGTGACCAACCTGAGAAGCTATCTCTGTTCTCCAAACCAGCCCGAGAAGGCCGCGAGGATAAGCCAGACAAGGCAGGCGACACAAGGATTGCAGGAAGAAGCACCCAGACCAGATCGTGTGAGTTGAGGCGTTTACAAATCAACGTGGGTTGAGGCCCAGCAAAATGTTTGGAGCATGCAGCAAGAAAGCGAGTCGATGACACCACCAGTGGCATACCCGACGACAACAACAGGGGCAAAGGAGAGGAAGACCGATCAGAATGGCAGCCACAGACAAGACGGACGGGGCGAGAGAGAGAGAGAGAGAGAGAGAGAGAGAGAGAGAGAGAGAGAGAGAGAGAGAGAGAGAGAAGAGAGAGAGAGAGAGAGAGAGAGAGAGAGAGAGAGAGAGAGAGAGAGAGAGAGAGAGAGAGAAGACAGAAGTCAACGTGGGTACCTTATGACAAGTAACTCACGGTGTAAGGAAAAAAGTGCAACCTCTTTGTGAGGTTCACGTGTTTGTGTGTGATGCTCTAAAATGTCTGACAATAAATACCTGGCTGTCTCACTACTTGTGTTCGCTTGCAAAAAAAAAAAAGAAGAAGAAAAGTGGCTGGTTCATATCAATTCAGCAACCAGGTCAAGGCGGGTCGGCTCGCCGAATCTTTAGAAAGCCTCCTCGCAGTTTTGGGGAGGGATAAAGAGGTTGGGGTTGGAGATCTGCAGCACGTCATACAACAACGTCAGTTGAATGTTGAATGTGAGGTGGTGAAGCAAACGTGCGCGCGAGCGATGCAAAGTAGGCCCGATCAAAGTGACGTACGCCAATGGTAACATCGGCAAACTCCTCATACACAAAACCGAAAGAGTCGCCCATCTTGTCATCGCGAACGGGGACGCAATCGTGGGTAAAGGTTTGGTAGCGGACGGCTGGGGCGTACTCAAACGAGTAGCGGGGGTCGAACCACTGGGTGAGGGTCAGTTGGTCGGGGTAAGAGCCCAAGGTCTCGTAGCCAGTGAAAGTGGCGTTGGGGGAGATCTGCGCGCAAGAGAAGGAGTGCATGAGCGCAAGTGCAAGGCATGGCCCATAGGATCCCGGGCATGGTGTAACATACGTCATGATGGTAGAAGGGATGCTCGATGCGGTACACGGTGCAGCGGCGGGTGTGGCGGTTGGTCACGTAGGCCTTGCGCTCGTGGTACAGCTCCAAGATCTCGTAGTACTCGTTGTCGCTGCTGTCACCAGCCGACTCCTCATCCTAGACACATGGCATGACGCACAGGGATGCATGCGTGAGTGGTCACGCTTCACAACCGCGAGACCAAACGTGGATCGACCAGTCAACGCACCAACATCCACTTGCGCATGTAACGCCATCGT